GATCGAACAATTTTGCGCGATAATGTATGTTTCCCTAAGATCAAAACAAAGACTTGATGTCTCTTGTTCTATCAGCATAAAATCACTAGCGACAGACAAGTCTAATTGTTAATGATTTGAAACAGTCTTGGTCTTTATCTTCGGTCTAGCTTCTTTTGTAGCTCGTTTGTAAAATACAGCTTCGATTTATTTTGTTGAATAAGACAATTTGTTGTTGTTGAATTTTTGTTTGCGCACTTAATTTTATGAATGGCATGCGTTTTTACTCCAAAACTACAAGTAAAATTGTCGTCACAATTTTATTCTTGATCTAGCATAACCAGAGAAGAAACGTTCCGTAAATTCTATCGAAATATCCCTTATCTAAACCCATTTCGCTTGTTAACCTCTCTAAATTCGGAGCCTTGGACGTGACAGAGAACATGGAGAAAGTCACGCGTTAAAAACAATAGAATTTGACAGTTGAAAGTAATTTGCATAACCTCAGAGCGCACATGGAGAAAGTCACGCGTATAACCTCAGAGCGCATGCTCTCCAGCTGACATAGCCCCTTTAACTTCATCTGGGGAGAAAGGCAAGATTTCGAGATAAACAAGCCTATAGAAAGGGTGAAAACAGTTTCACGGCAGAATGGACACTTAATTAACCACTGTATTCCTCAAACGGTTAAGTTCGATTTTAGAGTTATACTATTAAGAAGAATTAAGTATCTATAGCATAATTGTTTAACAAAAGACTATCATACTGACCTTTTCCTCCTGCTCAAAAAATATGCTCGAAATGTTAGGTGGTAAGAACATTCAGCCGCCATCTTGTCTTCGAAGTACTGTTTTACGAAAGGAAAGACTGTCCTCTCAAGGGCGACAGCGAGGCTACAATAAATTCACTTTCATCGTACAAATAAATCGATACCTTAAAGAACATGTTTGCGGAACGTAGCACCAAGTACAAGTCATTCAGCTCCAGAAAACAGCCTGCAAATGCTGGTAATGAACGTAAACAATTCACAGAAAATACCTCTGTGGCACTTCAACAGCCCATATTGACGCATGCGCATACAAAATGCCCTCCTGTTTATCACACCAGGATTCAAAACTGATCATTCTCTGATAACGCTTAGCCTATCTTTGCATTCTAATCCCAGGGGAAACGGTTTTTGGAAGCTAACTACGTCTCTACTCGCTGATAACAATTTTATTGAAACAATAAAAATAGCGATACAAGAAACAGCTAACGAATACAAAGACGATAATCTGGTTAACCCTCTATTGCTGTGGGACATGATAAAACTAAAAGTCCGCAAAAAGTCAATTACTTATTCCGCTTCCATTAAAAAAGCAAAAGTAAAAAAGAAGAGGAGCTGGAAAAAGAAATTGCAATGTTGGAGAAGCGACTGGACAATGCTTGTAGCAATGATCCGCCAGTGAGCCAAAATGTCACTGAACGAATTAAAATCTTAAAAGAAGAACTCGAGAAAATAATTGAATACCGAGCCAAAGGTGCCATTCTTCGATCAAAGTCCAGGTGGTACAATGAAGGTGAAAAGAATACCAAATATTTTCTTAATCTTGGAGAACTTCACTTTAAACAAGCTACAATAAGCCAATTGAAACTTAGCGACGGAGTTTTCGTAATATCCGACAAAGATATATTATCTGAATGCGAATCTTTTTATAAAGATCTCTACGCCTCAAAAATAGACAACTCTGTAAATTTTGA